TAGATGGCTGTCTGAAAGACAGAGCTGAAATTGAATAGATTTATGAATTGCTTTTTAAGCTTCATCTTTGGGATTTCCAGGCGTTCTCATGACTCCTGCTGGTACACCGAGTGGCTTTATCCTGCCGCCCGACGAAGATTCTTTCTTGGTGTTTTCTTTTCCAGATCCTCAGAACCAAAAACCCTCTCTTCATCCTAGAACTCCTTACTCTACGCTCCTCTATCCAATCTCTTAATACCAGATCTCAACCTATTGATTTATATATTCCATCTCATAAAACTACATCCTTCAGCAAATCCTTTGCCTTCGTTCTACCTCCTTCTGAAATTCTTTACCTATCACTATAGGTAAAGAAATTAAACTTCTTCATCACCATTAAACCATTCATAGATTTAATATCTTAGTAAACCACGACACGATTCTGAATAAGATGAACAGAATTGCCATAACTTATTTTAGGTTTTTTAAGAAAAAAAAATATACAATATTAAAACAAGAAAATATAAAAGTGAAATCGTGATATAGTTAGAAATGATACTGTATTGCCCTCTGATGTTCTAACACGGGTCTATAGAAATTCATTATTGTTCTTTGTATTAATGACTTCCTCGAAAATCAAAATAAAACTAATCTTGAGATCATTCAAAGAAAGCGTGACCAGAATTCTTATGAACACCTGTGGGAAGTTTTAAGGAGCTCAGACAAAATTTTGAAATATCACACTACTCTGAATGTTAATTAATGCTTGAGATTTATTTATTCATATTATCATTAAGGAAAAATGATTCGTGCTTAGATAACTTATTTTTTATTATTTCTGCTTATACATTTTTTAAAAAGAATTTCTTCGCAATGTCTTACATTAACATCTATTCTTTATTAAATAAAAATATTATTTCCCAATTAAGACAAACATTTTTTTTCATGGTGCCAATATTTGTTGTTTGCATGAAGAAATTGAACTTTGTTATATACATATTATATATCTTTTACAATGTGTAGAATGTATAATATGATTTGATGTAGGAAATTTTATAAATAAAAAATATTTATGGGACGGTTAGTATCGCCCAAATGGGAGACCGAGACGAGTGTTGGTCTTGCAAACTTAGTCTTGATCTAGGTCTTGGTCTTGCGCAGGACTCTCGTAACAGTCTTGCAGTTACCTATTAGCTTACTTCTAGAAAGATATTACTGTAATTTTTTAATTGAAATTTACAACTGTATTAAATGATAAATACAACAAGTAAATATGAAACAAGTAACATGACATGGACAACATGAAGAGAAATTACCTATTGGTAGCACACCAATTATATTTCTATATTAGAATGTCCCGAGGCCATCTTCTTTTCAGTCGTCTCAGAGAGTTATCAGGAATAAGAGAGGAAGCAAAGGTGGAAACAAGAGGGTTCGGATGGTTGAGAAGTTTATTAAGGAAGGATAGGTATCTGGAATGAGCTAAATCGGAAACATATAGTACATTAAGGTCGTTGTGGATGATTTTATTTGTGACTAAGCAGGCAGAATTGAGGATTTTACGAAGGATCTTGGATTGTAAGGATTAGATACGAAAGGAATTTGAAGGTTTAGTAGAGACCCAAAGCTCGAAATAGGCCTTATAATAGTAATATATATATGAGTCTTTTGTAAATAGTCAGTAGTTTAGAGAGTTTGTCTAGTAAGTGCTGGAGTAGTCGAAAACACCGGGCGGTTTCTAATCGTTTCAGTCTGGTATGGATCACCCATCTTGACCTCCTTTTCTTCATTTCATGAGATATTGAATATCTGTATGCAGTTTTTGATCGATCCTGTTCCTTCATACGTTAGCGCTCTGATCCCAGTCCAGGTATCGATTTCATACATCAGAACTTCTTTTGTAATAGTATTGTATACCATTAATATAAGATCTCTAGAGATTTTTCGGGACTTTCTAACTTTAAAACAGCAATGAAAATTAAAGCAAATGTGTATTTATATTTACGGTAATTAGTTACATAGTACCTTCTGATTTCTTATGTAAAGTAAAACATGTTCTTCAGTTTTATAATAACGAATGAATATAAAGATTATGCTAAAAGTGCACAAAAGAAACTCATAAAGAAATGTTAGCGCTTGCGTAATATGTCGCGCTATTGAATTTCGTGAGAACATATCTCATTGTAAGAGTTCGGGCAGCAAAATAAGAAACTTTTCATGATAGAATATCACATAAACTTGAGCAGTCTAAAATTATTTGAATGTTTTAAATAAAATGTGTAATTATGTTATTAATTTAAATCATTTAAGCCACTAATATATTTATTGTTTGGCACATTTTTTTTAATCGATGACGTTGGCAAATCGGTATTCCCAACAGGTTTTGTTGGTGATATGTCTCGAGTAAATGTATATATTTTTTTCTTGTGATATCTGGATCTTGTTTTTTTGTCTGACCTGAAATTCCCTGTCTTAGATTTCCACATTTATATTCTCTTTGCAATATTTAACTATTTTTCTAGATTTTATAAATGAAAGGTTCCTCTCCTCTAGTAAATTTTTATTTTGGTTCCTTTAGTCTGACGTTTCGCGTTTTTCACCAATCTTAATAGAAAATTGATTCTGTCATAGGATACATAACAATTTTTTTAAATTATTTTATTTTGACATATTATGAAATTTGTGCACCTGCGCTGCAGCACATCTAGCAAATCTGATGTATTAACCATTAGCTGCGAATTTGCTTGATTATTTTTTTTCCTTGTTGTTAAGGTAGTCCCTTGGCCATTTTCTTTTCAGTATGCGTCGATGAGGTAACAAGGAGCAGGAAATAGAAAGGACTAATGGATTGGTGTGATTTAGAGTTGAAGAATGAAATATATTGAATAGGAATATTTATATGCACTAAATTAAAAATTTTAATTTAGCTGGTAATTGATTCTCGTTTATATAAAAAAAAACTTCATCAATATCCATCTATTTCATTGACATATAATGCATGTTAAATATCTATCCATTTTTAAAAATATATTTTAACTATTGTAGAATCTTTTTTTTTTTTTTTATAATACTCGTGATAGATATTTTTCACTGTCATATTGACTAAGGTATCTGAGTTGAACTTTATACCAAGTTCATATGCTCTATCATTCCCCTCTACTCTATATTCATTTATTTGTTCTTTCTCGTGGACTATATATTTTATATATTATTAAAGATTGCTTTTCTTGTTTTAATTGATGTGCCTTCTATTTTTCTGTTTTATGTATGTTTGGTTTATTAGAATATTTTTAGAATAGTTAATAATTAGAATTTTTTTACTATTAAAATCAAAACAATGGCTTATCATTGTACAATCCTCCGTTAGGGCTGTTATATTTACGTTATTCTCATTTTTACTATTAATTATATGCTGGGGTAATTTTTTTTTTTTTTTTTAAGGTCTCTCTTGTGTATGATTTATTACAGTTTTTGGATTATATTTCATAAATCACTAATTAACTATTTTTATAGAGGTATATTTTCATAATTTACAAAAGAGAACAACATATTTTTAAGAACAAGCGCCTATAATAGAGGAACATTTAAGGTGGAAGGGTATTAAGTAGATAAGGGCATGAGTGGATAGTTTTCCACCCTCGATAGTTCGACGGTATCGATAAAAAAATCATCGATAATATCGGTAGTTTATTAACTTCCCGACACAGACTTGCAAAGGATTTATTTTCGCTGTATATTTTAGTTATTTACTTTAAAATGCTGCATAAGCTTTATAATAATTAATTTACTAATAATAATTAAAGGCTTAGTGAACCCGAAGGTTCGATGCCGACACCACCAATCTCTTATTAAACAACCTCCCTCCATCGTTCGCCGTCCAAACCCAGTCCCTTCAGTCAGCTTTAATGCAATCTTTCCACCTTCGCTTCGGTCTATCCCTGGGAAGTTCACTATTTGGTACAGCAAATATTAACCTTTTAGGAATTCTCTCGTTACTAAGCCCAACAATTTTACAAGCCCATTTGATTCGGCGCGATAAAATTACCTCAATTATATTACCCGGATATAGTTCACGCAATTCGGCGTTGTGTAACCGTCTGAACTCTCCGATAATAATTAACTTAATAATAATAAATTCCATTTATTTTTCTGATTGTTGAATTTAAACAACAAACATTTTAACAAACATAACTATTTGATTAAAATAATCGGGCGAGAAATGTGTATGACTTTTAATTTCCAAGATCGTAATTATATAATTTTAATTTGATGATAGCACCTCGTTTAAAAGATTTTAAAAAAATGTAACGGCATCCTTGTAGATTTTATAATTATGTTTTTTTATGAAAAAAAAAATTAAAATGTAACATTTTTTTACATTGGCACAACTGGAGTTGTAAAAATATTTCTAAGGAAGTAATTTGAGATTGAATTATTTTTTATCTTTTCGGCTTCGTCTTGTTCAATTTATTTTCAGTGTTATATATTGATAGGAATAGTTTTAAACATGCCTTCACACTTCTATGCACTTATTTTCTTAACGTGACCGTTTCCATTATACATTACCTGTTTTCCATTATCAAACTTTTACATCGTTATATCTCTATAACATGTACATCAATAAATGGGTTGAAGAATGAAGACGTGTTATTAAAATTATTTCTTTAAGTATATATAATTTTAAAATAATTTGTGTCTAAGGAGAGGATATTAACGATAGTAACTAGAACTATACATAATTTCAAACTATCGATGTATCGATAGTATTATAAAATATCGCCCATCCCTAGTATTCAGAATCGAACAGCGGTACACCTCAGTACAGAGAACCCTAGGTTATGGTACGCGTCATAATAACGTTATGCCTGATCTTGAACTAGTCCGTTTTCCGAATTACGAGATTTTTTTTTTCATTAATCTTAAATAATTTTCGAAAAACTGATGCCATTAAATATACTTTTGTGAAGATGAGAAAAGATATCTTTACAAAATGGCTGCAATGAGAGACAAATGGGACTAGAATGGAAAAGAGGATTGACCTAGCCAACGCGGCAGCCCAAGGTCGAGCCATCTACGGCAGGACTCATGGCCGCATCCCACTGCCTGCGGCCTTCGAGGACATCCGGAGGACCAGGAGGTGTCCGGGAGATGATAGATGGAAGGAGTTTATTGGTGACTTATTGGCTACAGTAGGGTCTTGTGATCTTGGGTTAGAGATCTAAATGTAGTCAATAATCTCGATATTTGGGGATTTGGTTGTTTAGTTTTTGAAAAAAAAAGGAAACAGGATCCTGTTCTTAACATTAAAAGAATTCTAATTACGATTCCTCAATTCGAGCTAGAAGTTAACTATAGAGTGGAAGCTTTAGAAAATTCTGACGAGGAGCGAGATCATATAGACTATATATACAGATAGTGATCAGGAATGTAAAGAATAATAAAATAAAGTATAAAAGAATAGATAAAGAAGGCGATAAATCCTGTTTTTGAGATAAGAAAAAAAAAAGAACAAACCATGGTTCAATGAAGAATGTCAGAACACATGTTAAAAAAAAATGGCAAATCAAAAACTAAATATTTCCAGGGAATACACTCTCGCTCCTTAAATCGATCTAACTGTGATGATGTTAAACTATGGAGAGCTAATTTATATTTACTAAGAACTCAAATTCCGACAGACATTTATAATCAATTTGTAATTAAAGTTCAGAATTATAAAACTTTCATTTTTTACCCTCATTTAACTTCAGTAAATTATATTGATGACAAAAGCTCATTGAAGGTGATCAGATGGGTAATTAAGATTTGAGCTGATGTTTTGAACTTAAATTATAAACATTCGTCGTAAACCAACGACTTCCTGTCCTACAGTTTCCTTTAACAACACTCCACTTATCCCTGTTGAGCAAATCCGATACCTAGGACTCCATCTGGACAAACGACTAACTTGGAATCCTCCGATAACCCTCCGAGGCGTCTGAAAAGAAGATGGCCCCGTGATCTCCTAATGTAGTCATATCATTAGAGTGCTACCATTGGGTAGTAACTCAGCAAGTGTATTCATGTTATTATATCAATTATGTCCAAATTTACTTGATGTATTTATGTAATACAGTTGTAAATGTCATAAAGAACTAAAAAAAAATATATAAACACTTCAAGCAAACAAATAATAATTGTAGCATGTGTAATACAAACGAAACAGAAGATCGCTATAACTTCCTGGCTGCTTGTCCGATAGTCTCTGAATTTAGAATTAAATGGTTAAAATCTAGAAATTTATCTCGAAATAAAGTAATAGATTTAATAAATGGAAACAATTGTATAGCATTGGTAAATTACTGCAAGTCTGCTTTCTCCTATAGAATAATGCTCACCAGAGAATTTAACAATTAATAAATTGGAGAATTTTGGTACTACTCTTTATGTATTTAAAATAACTAAAACAACTAAAAATCGGACTTGCATAGTTTAAGCGAGGGAAATGTTCATCATTGTATCCTCTTTGTAAAGATCTATCTTTTAAAATAACAAGTTTTATTAAAGATATGGTTTAAAATATCTCAAAATTTTAATACCATGGAGAATTCAGAAACTACATAATGTATGTTTAACCTCCTAGATGCCAGTATACCAATAATGTCCTGTCCATAACTCACATTTTCCAAGATTGTCCGTTCTATATATATTAAATGAATTAATAAAAAATATAACACTAGCCTTAGGAAACGGCAGCAGTTAAACTGACATAATAATAACATTTCTAATAAAGTTAAGTTTAATGAAAGGACTATAATAATAAATTGTATTTATCTAATTCATTTATTTAATTTGTTTGCCTTTATATATAACCTTTCCTTCCGCCTTATTTTATTTATTTATTTTTATTATTAGGGAGTGGAGTAGCTCAGTGGTAGGGTACCGAGCTTCCAATGCTAAAGGTCCCAGGTTCGAACCCCGGCTCATGGCAGAAAATTGATTTATCTGTTTCATTGGCCGCGTTGCGACCTTGGGTCGGGGGACCCTCCTGGGGCACACAAAGCCTCTATAATTAATTAAGGGGAAAAACCTGGCGATTGGGTGTGATCGCGTTCAAATCACCTTGCACAACCGTTGACCTAGAAACAGTGCTTTCCCTAAATAGTACTGAAGACCCTTCATGGGTTGTACTGGTACAGGTGTTTTTATTATTTTTTTTTTATTGTATCTTTTATTTTTTCATATGTATAGATTTTTATCTATTATTTTTACTAGTCTATTTTTTTTTTCCTTATTTTCATTTTTTTTTCTATTAAACCTGCCAGCAAAATGTTTTAATAATAATATTTTTATGGATAAGTCACTGACGACTAGATGCTTTGCTCGCATAACATGAAAACAACCAACCAACTTAGAGTATATGTTGATGTTGATTTTTGTTATTAGATTATGATTGTTGACAAAGCACACTCTGTATTTTTTTTTTCTCGCTTATTCAACTCCATACCTGAAAATACCTATTTATACTTAAAGTAGGATAGGAAGTAAAAAGTGTGCGATGGGCGCACAGCAAAAGATTTTTGTGTCACCGATTCACAAAAGAGAATATAACTTCCTCAGCTAATTTCCTCATTGAAAAGAATCCATTTAAGGAGCGATAATTCGTTGTAGCTAACTACGGCAGCAAATGAATTCAGCCTTTGCGAACTGCAAGTCGGTTATCCTGCCCTCTTTATCTCCCAACATCCTCCTCCTTTTAATTACTCGAGGTCCTTCACACTGTTAATGTACCTCCTCTCCTCCTCCCTTCCTGATAAGGCTGCAAAGTATAGCTCCCGCCTCCTTCGGTAAATATACCCTCCTCGACAGGATCACAATGCTCCCCGAATAATGGCTTTGTAAAGAAGTCCTCGCAGCCTTTTTGAATAAATTTAAACAACAGGAGAATGTCCTAACATTAGCATTTGTTTCATCACTAATATTTATTTGTACTTTATATTGGGTTGGCAGAAGTCGCTCAAAATGACGGGAGATTCGAGGAAGATTTTGGATCGAAAGTGGTCCAGGGTGCATTTTATTTTTGATTATTCGTCGTAAACCAATGACTTATTGTACTTCAGTATCCTTAAACAACATCTCACCGTTACCTAGGACTCCACCTGGACAAAAGCTTGGAACCCCCATACCAGACTAAAACGACAACAAACCGCTCGACGTTACCGACTACTTCAACACATACTAGACAAACGCTCTAACCTTCCGATTAATTACAAAAGACTCATATACATGACTATAATACGGCCTATTTGGACTTACGGAGTTGAGCTATGGGGCTCCACCAAACCATCAAATTCCTCTCGTATCCAATCCTTACAATCAAAAATCCTTCGTAAAATCCTCAATGCTGCTTACTTTGTCACAAATAAAATCATCCACATGACCTTAATGTTCCTTATGTATCAGATTTAGCCCAATCCAGATACCTATCCTTCCATAATAAACTTCATGACCATCCCAACCCTCTTGTTTCTAACCTTGCTTACTATTCAATTCCAGATAACCCTCCGAGGCGTCTGAAAAGAAGATGACCCCGTGATCTCCTAATATAGACATATTATTAGAGTGCTACCAGTGGGTAGTCTCTCAACATGTGTTATATGTCACTGTACGAATTTACTAGATGTATTTTTTTGTTATTGTTACAGTTGTAAATATCATAAAATAATAATAATTAAGAAAAACAAGTTTTGATTGTTAACGCTTGATCACATGAGATGAAAAATGGACCCTGTATGATAATCCAAAACGCTAATGGCACTGGCTCTCTCCAAAAGAATCGCTACGAACTACTGCTAAGCCAGGTTCACAAGCCCGAAAATGCCCTTTTGTGTGTGTTCGAGTATTCCTGGCGTTACTCATTTTGAAGTGCTGAAACCTGGACAAACTGTGAATGCAGAACTTAATTGTGATTGTGTAAATCAATCCTTAACTGAAAAATGGCAAGGGATTGTCAACAAAAAAAGGCGTTCTAATGCAAGATTGCACTGCGTAAGACGAACCATGGAAAAAATAATGAATTGAGGTACTGCCTCGTCCATCATCCAAGTGGCAAAATATTTGCAAATTTGAATAATGACCAAAATGACATCTGTATATATTTTTCTAAAAAAACAGTTGATATTTATGAATCCTGCATTGAAAATTTGCACAATTGATGGCACAAAAGTTATTCATAATGAGGGTAATTATTAATAATTAAAAATAAAAACTTGAGTGAAATTTATGTGTTCGAATTTAATGTAAGAAAACTACATTACTTTCCGGTCCCCCTAATATTACATTCTCTCTTAATTAAAGAAATTTATAATTGAGATCAGACAGTACATTTACATCACGTTTACAGATAAGAAAAAAAAATTAACAGCAATATAATACACAGAAATAGTTACAAAATAAAACAACATAAACAGAAACATGCAATGGTGTGAAAATGTGGCCGAACAAACTATTTTAAAAAATAAAAATGGAGAATTTTTCAATTTAAAAGTGTTAATCTTCTTAATTAGGGAGCGGGATAGCTCAGTGGGTGAGCACTGACTTCCAGAGCTCGAGGTCCTAGGTTCGAATCCTGCTAATGACTAGTAATTTTTCATTAGCCGTGGATCGACCCTGGGATCGGGAGACCCTCCTGGGTCACACCCAGCCTCTATAAAATGAGTACCCTTAACTAAGGGGAAAGACCTGGCGGTTGAGCGTGATATCGGCCCCATCACCTCCTTGCACAACCGTTGGCCTTTTGACCGTTGAGCCTGCATAGGTTGTTATTGGTACAGGTTTTTTTTTAATCTTCTTAATTGTAAAATGATTTAACGTAGCAAACATTTTAGATCTAATATATACTTAAGCCTAGACTATGAATGTTTTTCAACACACTTTAAACACAAAGTATAGTACTTTAAACACAGTAGTTCTAAATGAAACTCATTGATGAACACACCTCCCTGAAGAAGACCTGCAAAGTCGGTTCGAAACGTTGGCTTTTAATAAAACAGTTTCGCCACTATTTAGTCTATTTATGACCGACATCCCGGACCATCTTCCTTAATAATACAACAGTCAACTATTAAGTATTCAATTTAAACACAAATGCTCGTAGATTTTACAACTTTGAAAGTAACATTTGTTTTTCCAAAGAAATAAGATAAGATTAAGCTTTTAAATATTATTTTTTAAAAGTTTGTTT